GATCACACTTTAATGCAATCCTCTGCTAATTGTAGTCAGCGCCTTGGAGCCAAATCAATTGTATGTCTCTCTTTCCACGTTTTCCTCCGTAATTTGATCACCTTCAGCTGGCTTTTTTTTTGTTTGTTTGTTTTGTTTTTTAAAATAGCTCAATTGGGAAATCTGGCAACATCTTTTAAGAATAGCCACATAACATCAAGCCAGCAAAGACACTTCAGAATGTCCAGCTTCAAAAGTGACATGTGAGCAGCAAAAAGTCACTTGTCTACAATGGAAGAGCACTAGGAGATGGCAGAGTTGAAGAGGAAAGGTTCTTGGGAAGAATCTTGACTCACCATTAACTGAGAAAATGCTGCTGATTGCTTATCTCTACAATCATTGCAACTCATCTGAAGTTTGCAAATATAGTCATATGCTGCCGTTGGCACCATGGACACCAGTCTCCCAGTCAAAACGATAGAAATTATATTAATGCATTTCTCTGAATCTAAAAGTGCCTCTTAATGGTGAAGAGAGATCTCTTGTTTGCTTTGCAAGGGCATCACACTGAGGTCCCCTATGGCAAGTTGGCACTTACCTTGTGAGTGGTCATGGCATATCGCTGAAGGCCAGGAAGGCCAATGATGCCAAAATGGCCCCTTTTATTCTATTGGAATTTGAGTAATTCCAAATATGTACATGGCTATTATAAAGTTTAGAGTAGACTCAGATGGTTAATTCTGCAAATTGAATGATTTCTGACTGTCCATAATGGAATAAGAGGATTACTTTGGTCTGTGCAAATATGAGTGAGATTGACAAGCTGCAAGTCCTAGTGATCGCAAATTACCCATTTCACATTGCTTTAGGAGCCAGGGTACCTGAGGATGTCTGCAGCTCTAGTACAAGTCACTCAACAGAGAAAAAAAAAAAAACAAAAACAAATGTAAATTGATATCAATAGCCATTTTGAAAAATATGCCAAAGGGCATATGCCCACAGTTCCTCTTTTGATATGCCCGTTGTATCCTAGAGAACAGTGTGAGCTGCCCTAGTGAGGGGAGCCTGTGGAGTCCTGAATATGGTCTATGTGGCACTTTTCAGGAAAGCTTTACAAGTAGAGTAGGGCTGTGTCCTGTCCCTCCTTTACTAAAGTCACCTAAGTCTAATACCTCACTGTACTCATTCCAGAGTCCCTGGGTTGTGCACCCAAGTATTTTATTTTGTCTTGCTCCACAGGGGAACATTGAATGGCTTTGCTAACTGTGGTGTGTGTGTGTGTGTGTGTGTGTGTGTGTGTGTGTGAAAGAGAGAGAGAGAGATACCAGAATGTGCCTCACTGCTGAGAAGGGAGGGAGTGTCTGGGTTTAGAGGAGGGAAATGGAACTCATAATGTGATTCCCATCAGCATCTAGACCTTTAATCTATACAAATGAAATGCTCCAATTTAATAGAATTCTAAAAGTAAAACAAATGCTTTGTTCTTAGTGAATCTGTCATTCAGAGCTGCTCTTGGTAGCACATCAACTGTACTTGAAATGTCTTTAAGTGGGTATTTTTTTATTGTGCTTTTCATCTTAACACATCTTTGAGTTGTTAGAGGAATAGGAAGGCTGAGCTCCTCTCAGCGTATCAGGTGTGTGCTACTCTCAAGTCCCCATTTGCTTACTCAGCAGCAAAGAGCTTACCTTAGTGAGTATTTTGGCCATACTGCAATAGAGCTTAGAGACTAAGAAGCAACAGAACAAATTAATATGAGTTAGCGGTAGAGAGGAAAGAAATACGACATAAGGAGATGTTTGTAATAAAGTGTATTATAATAACTACCAAAGTGGAACTATTGTTTTGGGGAAGTCAGGTGCCAAAAAGCACCACAAAGTACGGAAGTAAAGAAATAATACTTACTATTTGTTGAGCATTTACTATGTTCTAGGCACTGTGCTATGAGCTTTCCATATAATATTTTTCTAAACCTTAGCACATCCATTGCTATGAGTTATAAAGAGGAAATTGAGGTCTAGATGGGTTGTTACACACTAAGTGGCTCAAACCATGGTCTACCTGACCTCATGATATTTTTGTTATTTTTGGTGGATTCTTTATGGTCTTTTTAGATGGACAGCAAAATATTAATATTTTTGTTTATCAAAAGTATTTACATAACTCTTCTTATATTTTTTAGCATTTTCATGTGACTCTGTAGAATTTCAAATCCTTTATTTGTTTTGAATTTTTATTTAAGCCTATTTGGAGTATTTCTATCATTGGAAACTAGGCAAAAACTTAGGGAAGACTTCTTCAGTAGTTGAGATGCATACTCCCAGTGCCTGATAGTGTATGCGAGAGAAATGAATCCTTGTTTACTCTCTGCTTATTGCCATGAAGTCTCTGTGCTGAAATGTTGCATTGAGAGTGTGTTTTAAAAATTATGTGCCCAAATTTTCAGGGGTGCAGGGTTTTTGCTATCAGTCTGGGTCTTGTCAGGCAGAGACCGAATGGATATACCAACACTCTCTTGACACAGGAGATGCCCAAGCATAGGAGCTCTACCTCCTGTCAGAGCCCACCTTGCTCACTGTCACATGCATGTGATCTCAGGGAAGATGGTCAGAGACTCACAGCCCAGAAGGCTCTTTTCCAACAGAGAGATATTGTTGGGCTGCTGGTTATTAATAGTCACTGAGGAAAAGAGTCCTTTCTGAGTTGCATCTTTATCTTCTTCCTCTTCCAGATGTGTGAAATATGCAGTTGACATTGGAACATAACAAAATGTCTCTTGACTTTTGCCCTCTAGGAACTTGGAACTCTGAGGAATGATTAGATATTATCGCTTGAAAAATAAGGTTGGAGGAGGAAAAGGGTATTTTCTGGTCCCCTTCCTACTTCCTGCAGGAACTGGCCTTGGTGTCTTCTTCCTGAGCACAGCAACTTAGTCCTTCTGTTCATTGATATCTCCCCAGGACCTCCACAGAGATACTCAGTAGACATGTATTGAAGGAATGAATGGGGTTAGCAGTTGGGAAGGGCTTCAGAGGCAAGTAGGATTTAAGATAGTTCTTTATTAGAGGAGTTCTATAGGTATGTGTTGGAGGAGGAAGAGAGGAAATTATAAGGTTAGTTTGGGGAGAAGAATTTTGGGTGAAGTGAGGAGCTGATGAAGGAAAATTTTCATATATTGTCAGAAAAATAGGTGGGAACTACATCTCTAAATTTCAATTTAGAAACTGAATTTCTAACCAAGAAGTGCAAAGAGTCTGTGTTGTGTGTTTTCCTTGGGAGATGATTAGAGTAGTAAAGCACATCAGTCATATGATTCAACTTCCCAAGCCTGGAATACATATCGCATGCCCACCTTCTAAATTTTTTTGCTTGCATAGGATAATTTTTTTTTAACTTGCCCTGAGTAGTCGGACTATTTGATATAAAGTCATTGTAATTTGCTGACATATACCACTATATTGTAGTTTGTGGCCATGCTATTATTGAACCTGTTTTAGCTGATTTCTATCAGGTATAATAGTTAGATATTTCTATCTATATATTTATATATTTTTTTCTCTCTATATATTTCTATATATGTATATTCTATATATTTCTATTCCTTGTCACTTGTCACTTGCTTGATTTTCCTTTGCCTTTGCCTGATCTCTCTGTAGAAGAATAAGGAAGAGGAAGGGAAGGTAAATGAATATTTGTTGATCTCTGGAAATCTACCAATCACTTTAACATTTTGAACTTTATTAGTTTATTACATTTAATATGCCTACTTTAATCCAAAGAGTATTAAAAATGCATGTAAATTTTTTTTAGAAAAGTGAACCCATTAGATAAAAGGAAAAATAAAAGAAGTCAGTGTTGCACAAAAATGCCTGCCCTGAGGTCTTTGTATACTTGTTGGAGGTGGTTACAAATCAGATTTGGGGTCAGAGTTTTTTGACTTCCAGTGGAATGGGGGAAACATGATGGGTTGTATGCTTCACGGTATCTGTGAGATAAATCAGTTTCCCAGGAGCAGTCCAACTAGTTCTGGAACCTGAAAGGGAATTCTCCCACAGGTCCTCATAAAGAAGACTATGAAACATTTTATTTTGGCTGCCAGTGGGAAGGGTTGATATCTTCTTATGGAAACTGAGGAGTCCGTCAAGATTCTCTCTCCTGACGCGGTCTGAGGTGATAGCTGTGGGCAGGGCCAACCTATCATCTTCAGTCCCTAAATACCTCAAGCCATACCCTTGTAATGAGCTCTCCAAGATATACTCTTTATCCTCTTCACATCACAGTCTGCAGTTATTATGTTTCATATTTGCTTACCATGTCTTCTTGGAAATAGATTATAATCTGTGGAAGGGCAAGGACTCTAGGCTGTTTACTCATTCTTCCATTTCCACATAGCACAAAGCCTGGTATATATTAGGAGCTTAATAAATATTTATTAAAGATGGAATGGAAAGAACTGGTGGTAAAATGTACCCAAATGTAACTGAATTAGTTAGCCCGTTAAAAGGGAATTTTAACTACTTATAAGCCTAGTTTCACTGGTTTGCTAGCTATAAAAATACTAGGAATGTTTACCACAATGATTGATCTTGGAACAGCTGACATTCTTTTTGCCAATAATCGGATAGCATCAGATGGCCAGTTGTCTGTTGAATTCACCCTATACAAAAAGTCTGTTAGAGTAGATTTTATAATCTACACCTCACTGATGAGGACACAAAAACTCAGAGAAGTTGAATTATGGATTTATTTTCTACTTATAATCAAAAATGTATTTTAAAATCTAGACATTTTCATGAGTATATCATATAATTTGGCTGTGGTATATGGGGCAGCTACCTCTGTATACATTAGTTAAATGTTAGGCATTTCTAAAATAATCAAGGTGTTTGTGGCTACCAGTTATATGGCTAACTTTTGCTGGCTTTCTTTTCAAATATGGATTACTGCCAATCCTGGTGAGAGAACACATGCACCCATTTCCTGTGGTGGCAGATTAAGGGCTGTGTCCTCTCACCCTACAGGGACACAGAATACAAAGGATTGCAGCTCTCCCTGGATCAGATCTCAGCCTCTAAACCAGCCTTCTCCTACACCAGCAGTTCCACTCCTACTATGACTGACAACAGGAAGGGGGCCAAGTCCAGGCTCTCCAGCTCAAAGTCAAAATCCAGAACTTCCCCATATCCTCAGGTAGGTGCACTGCCATTTTGCAACTTTCTTTTCTTGTTTGTGTGTGGGGATGATTTGGTTTGGTCTCAAAGTTTAGGAAGTCTTAACACAGTTTGGAATTCATTATCTGGTTGTAATAAATTTAAAACTTCTACGTAAAGCTTTCTAAAACTATCTTCTTCCGCTCTTCTCCTTTTAAAATAACTATGCTAGTAAAAATTTGAAATGATCCTTGGTTTGCTGCTTTTATATGGAGATTGTGAGAGTCTCAGTTGCAGTTGGAGCCATAACTGTTTTTTTTTAAGGAGATTGATCGAAAAGATGTAGCTGGCATAGCAAAATGTGGAAAACAAGAGCTTAACATGGTAAAATTGATTCTTAGGATAGGAACTGAAGTAGAGGGAAATGAAAAGGTGGAGGCCAAGAATCAAGGCTGCGTCTTGTCATGAGATGTGTGCATGCGAGGACTATCTGGGGAAGGAGGGAAGTAGAATCTACCAGATGGCAGGAATGGTAGGAAAAGCAACTCTCTTCTCATCTTGACAAAGTGGTGAGCTGATGAGACCCAGATGAGGTAACTCTAGTAATACTGCAAGGCACAGGATGAGTCTGTGCTCTTGGGAAGAAAAATACTATTTTTCTGATCAGTCACTGTTAGAAACTAAACTGTACCAAGATACATGCACAATTGTCTCCTGGCCTGAAAGAAGTGGGACAGAATTGGGGATTTTCTACTCCTAGGATCTTGGGACCATCTCATCTCTATCCTTTTCCTTAAGGTGCCACATCACTCGAGTAACTCAGGAGAAGATTCCTAGGCTTATATAAAGCCAAACTGGATTTGGAGTTATTTTGTCAAAGTGGTCTTTAGCGTTTATGTTTTAAATATAGTTTTTAAACTAAACATGGCCATCTACTGGTTACAGAAACTGTTATGGCCTTACTTATCAGAGCGATATTACTCTGTTGATTTCTACAAATGTGTATACTATGTGAGGAAATGTCATTTGTTGAACTCATGCTTACTAAGAAGCTACTATTTGCTAGATTATTTTAGCAGCTTGGTATATAAAGATGAGAAGATCATGGTCCCAAAAGATTTATGTCACACAATTTAAAATCTCCCACAGAAGGCTAGATCTCTTTGCTCTGACAAAAGGGGGGGAGTTGATATGTGATGCCTAGACAGTTTTCAGTGTACACCCTCTGTTATGAGGATTGAGCACTTTACTTAAAAAGTACATTTTAGTTAAAGTCACCATGGAGGAGGAGTTGCTTCTTTTTATTGAACATCTGAGAAGCTTTTATTATTACAATCTTGTACCTTGGGGAAAATTTTTACTGTCTCTTTTTATTACTTGGAAGTATTGATTATGCCTTTGGGTAATTTTATCCTTAAATAAACAGGAATGTTGAACACATAGATGAAAGAAGAATTTAAATTAGGAAATACTATGTTAAGAAGGCATTTATCTGTTGTTATACAGAAATTAAGCCATAAAATATCTCCCCATTGGACTTCCCAAAACTCACTAATTCTATTCTTTCATTTACAGCTCTAACATATAAAATTTGTATTAGTTTGCTCTAATGGTAGACTGCTCATTTTTTAAAGATTGATTGATTTCAGAGAAAAAGAGAGAGAACAAGCATGAGTGGGGGGGGATGGCAGAGGGAGAGAGAATCTTAAGCATGCGCCATGCCCAGCATGGACCCCAATGTGGGGCTCGATCTCACAACCCTGAGATCATGAGCTGAAATCACAAGTTGGACATTTAACCAACTGAGCCACCCAGGTGTCCCTAGATGACTCATTTAAAAAAAAATGTTTTAACTGCCATTAGACTGCTCTTTGTACATGTGGTCATACATGGAGGAGGAGTTAATTTGAAAGTTATACATGTTTCCTAGTTTATTTTAATTTTTTAGAAGATTTTATTTATTTGAGAGAGAGAGAGCGCTCGCAGGAGCAGAGGGAAGCAGCGGAGGGAATGGGAGAAACAGGCTCCCTGCTGAGCAGGGAGTCCGAGAAGGGGCTCAATCCCAGGATCCTGGGATCATGATCTGAGCTGAAGACAGAGGCTTTAACCCACTGAGCCACCCAGACACCCCACATGTTCCCTAGTTTAAAAAAAATACAGAAGATTGTCTACCTTGGACTGGCTGCCTCTGCCTTTGGTAACTCCTCTATATAAGTTCTCCAACCTACCAATGTTGACCCATAGATAGGGACATCTCTATGCCTCTATTTAGCAGGAACAAGGTACAAAAGATAAGACCTTCCACCCTCAAGAACCTTAAAGATTTAAGGGTCAAAATTGTTTAGAGGGGGAATGATGTGGAGAACAAAGGCAAGAAAAAAAATGTAGATAAAATTAAATTTCCTTATAACCTGCAACCCACAGACAAATACTTGAGGCTGGTAGAATAGACATCGCTCTAGGAAGCTCCACTCTTACTGTTCATGCTTTGCTAGAGGGAAAAACAACCTTAGCTTGACAATAGTAAGGCCTCCAGGACGCTGTGCATCTTCTTTAGCACATGAATGTTCTTTTGGAAACTTCCCTCTTTCTTTGCCTTCCTCAACTCCAACTTATATAATCAATTGCTCCTCATGACCCCAGTGCAGACTTTTCTGCCCATGAGTCCTGTCCCCATGCTATAATAAAAACACCTTTTGTACCAGAAAAAAATAATAATACAGAAGAGTGAAACGTAGATGAAAAAACCACCTCTATTCCCTTATTTTCCCTCTCTGAAATCGCGATTTCTTCTGGAAATATTCTAGGGTGTATAAAAATCATGCACATGCCCACACATATGTCCATATAGGATTTCTCTTGCTGTTTGTGTGTCCATTTTTGTGGCTAGTACTTATATATATGTAGTCCTTAGAACTTGGCTGTATGTCTCATTTGAAATCACACAGGGGGCACCTGGGTGGCTCAGTGGGTTAAAGCCTCTGCCTTTGGCTCAGGTCATGATCCCAGGGTCTTGGGATCAAACCCCTCATCGGGCTCTCTGCTCAGTGGGGAGCCTGCTTCCTCCTCCTCCTCCTCTCTCTCTCTCTCTCTGCCTGCCTCTCTGCCTACTTGTGATCTGTCAAATTAATAAATAATAATAAAAAAATCTTTGAAATCACACAGGCACGGATTAAGTTTACTTAACATTTATGTGCCTAGTAAAGGTTATTTTTAATTGTGTTTACTTTAGATAATCTTGGTGCTAAGTCAATCATTGACTGAGTTCCTACTATATGGGCTACTAATATGTAGCGATCAGAAGTGGAACACACTGCCTTTGCTTTCAAGAAGCCACTCCTATAGACAGATGAGGGGACAGGCATTTGCAGTGAATTGTCATGGGGTGAGCAGAAGGCCCTCTGGGGGCACATTGGCAAAGCGTGAAATCTAGGGCAAACTCCTCACTGTATCTTCTGGAAGAAAGCAATTGGGTAGCATCATCTTGGATTCCAAACCCTTAGAAATGTTAAAGAAAAAAAATTAGCTACTCAGAAGTCCCATTTGTTTCAAATTGTCCTTATGTTATACTTACCCTTTAATTTTCGTGCATCACTGCTATTACGTGTCCTTGACTCAGGAGATGCTCGCTGATCCCCTGCAGTGGAAAGATGCTTTGCTGGCCATTGTGGTGAATGAGGGTAGCGGTTGGGTGAAAGTTGCTAGAATATAAAGAAGTGGTATAAGAAATGTCCTTAAGCTTTACAGGACAGCTGAAATGATAATTTACACTTTAGAATCAGTACTGCATAGGAGAGAGATGACATACACAAAGGGCTTTATGAGTGGGGTCAGCTGCAGGGACGGTAGCCTGGATGACTGGGGAAGGCATTGTGCCTGACCTGGCTTTGAGAGTTGGGTTCAGGCGTACAGGCATAAGGAAAGGATGAGGACACTTCAGAAGACCAAGATTATGAAGAAATGGCAGAGATGCATTGTGACTGGAACTGGAGCCAAGTGGGGAAGATTTTCGTCCCTGTGGTTGAGGACTAGGAATGATACATTGGGAAACGTTGGTTGTGCCAAGTATCTGCCAGGCCAAGGAATTCCGAATTTGTTTTTCCGAAAGTAGAGGTTTTTGAACAGGAAATGAGGGCATTAAGGTGGTTGAAGTAAGGCAGACTCCTCATGTGAAGAATCCTGGCATGCATCTGGGAAGGTCTGAACTAAAGTTCTCTACAGAAGTAAACAACCTGGGACGCCTGGGTGGCTCAGTTGGTTGGACGACTGCCTTCGGCTCAGGTCATGATCCTGGAGTCCCGGGATCGAGTCCCGCATTGGGCTCCCAGCTCCATGGGAAGTCTGCTTCTCCCTCTGACCTTCTCCTCGCTCATGCTCTCTCTCACTGTCTCTCTCTCAAATAAATAAATAAAATCTTTAAAAAAAAAAAAAAAAAAGAAGTAAACGACCTTAGAGAAGAAGAATGGATAAAGTCCTTTTTTTCCTTGGCTGCTTGCACCAATTCTCCTTATAGAGTTATTTTGATCACTAAAGATTTATCTTGAAATTATACTTTTAAAGATTTTATTTATTATTTGACAGACAGAGAGGCAGGCAGAGAGAGAGAGAGAGAAGCAGGCTCCCTGCTGAGGAGAGAGCCCGATGCGGGGCTCGATCCCAGGACCCTGGGATCATGACCTGAGTCAAAGGCAGAGGCTTTAACCCACTGAGCCTCCCAGGCGCCCCTGGAAATTATACTTTAAAGCTTATTTTTTTGTAGTCAATGACAAACTCATACTGACTATTCCTTCATAGGTTAATAGATCCGTAATAAATGCATTTTTGGTTCCTAAATGACCAAGCTTTTGCGTTTAAAGATTTCATTTATTTATTTGACAGATAGAGATCACAAGGAGGCAAAGAGGCAGGCAGAGAAAGAGAGAAATGAGGAGGAAGCAGGCTCCCTGCTGAGCAGAGAGCTGGATGCGAGCCTCCATCCCAGGACCCTGGGATCATGGCTGGAGCCAAAGGCAGAGGCTTTAACCCACTGAGCCACTCAGG